GCTTCAGGTCCTCCTGAATATATGAGTTGCAAGGGAAAAAAAAAGAACATAGAAATCACACAAAATGATTGGAAGTCTAGAAAATCTTCAGAGATTAGAGTGCAGTTACTTTTACAAAGCAACATCTGATTAAGTAGTTAATACCTTTACTTGGGATTCAAATTTCAGGATGGGAACATTTCTAGACCAAGCTTGAGTTACTTTTTAATTCCTTTGTTGGGCAGAAGGAGAGTATGTAATTGTTGTTTATCAGATTGTATTCAAATTTAAAATGGGGGGGGAGGGGTGACCCAGTGGCAAGAAACTATGCTGCAATCCCAAAGGCAAGGCCACCAGCTGCCCCACCAGGAAGGATGGACAATCTCCTTCTGTATGATTACCTGTCTCTAAAAACTTGTAGGAGGGTCAGCTATGGGACGGTTCCAACTTGACAGTACACCACATGTCTTCAGGTCAACTCTGATTTATAGTTATTTTATTATGTACAACAGAAAAATCACACCTAATCCTGCATTGTCCTCACAATCTCTGCTTTGTTAAGTCTGTTGTTACAGTCATTATGGCAATCTGTTTTTTTGTTGAGGGAATTCCCTCTGTTATGCTAATCATTCCTTTTCCAAGTATGATATACTTCTCTCAGGACTGGCCCCTCTCACCGGCCTTGCCTCTAAGCTACACTCTGGCTTCACTTCTTCTAAGACAGATTGGTTTGTTCTTTTGGTAGTCCATGATATAGTCAATAGTCTTCACTTCACCACCACCAGCACCACAATTCATGTTGTACAGTGAGAGACGATTGATTTAAATTAATTCAGTATCTCACGTAAATATAAATCCAGAATCTATAATTTAGGAGACAGGCTGGAATTCAAACTGTGGTGATCTGTGTCTACAATGTGAAAATATTTAAATAGAATCTTTCTCCCTCAGGAAAACTTCCATTTTTAAGGGCTTTAACTAACTGGATGAAGGCCATTTCATAATTGAGAGTTATCTCCTTTAGATTGTTAATCACACTTACAAAATAACTTCATAGCAAAACACTAGTCACAGTCTAATCAACAGCTCATAGGATTAGTTATCACAGGTAGGTAACAACAGTGGCTTAGTTATCTAGATCTTTGTCAAAACAAAAAATACTGCAAGTGGATGGCTCTGAAGGAGGAGTTATTTTCTGGAAGTCCAGAAGCCTGAATCCAGGGCATCAACTCTAGGATATGGTCTTCTTTGTCTCTACTGTCACAACACACTAGTCTTGCCTCTGTATACCTTTCTGCGCCTGTATTTCCCTTTGTAAGACACCACCCAGAAGGGATTAGGCTTAGGAACCATCTACCCTGTTACAACCTTATTAATAAAATGTATGAAAACCTTCTATTTCTGAACAGAATTGCATTCATAGGTATAGAGGTTAAGACTTCAGTGTATATATCTCTATATCTATCATCTATCTATCTATCTATCATCTATCTATCTATCTATCATCTATCAATATTTCTACCTCTATATTTTTATGTTGTTGTTATGTGTAATTGAGTCAACTGTGGACAATGGCTCAGAACTTTGCCTGATCTTAAACAACCTTACTGTCTCTGACACACTTGACCCTATTGTCATAGTCATTGTGCCAATCCATCTTATCCAGGGTCTTCCTCCCCCTGTGCTGACTCTCCATTCTTCCAAGCATGATGTCCTTATCTAAGGACTGGTCCCTCTTGGCAACATGCCCTCAGTATGTGAGATGAAGCTTCAAAATCCTTGCCTCCAAGGAGCTAGCAGACTGTTTTTGCCCTCTCCAAGACAGAACTGTGTTTGTTCTCTTATAAGTTTATGGTATGTTAAATATCATGCACCACAACTCAAAATCGATTCTTCTGCCATCCTTATTCATTGTCCAGCTTTCAGGGGACTTAATTAAAAACATATAGCTATTCAATAAGCCGTTACATGAGGCATTGACGGAATTATCTGGAAGTCGGTAAATAACACAGTAATCTCCATCAAATTTCATTTGAGTCTTTTCTTACTCAATCTTTTCTCTACCTTCCTGTCCCTCTCCTCCTTTTTATACAGGTGACACTTCCGAATCTTTTCAGTGTCATTGATTATTTTGTGAAGGAGACTCGAGGAAATTTAAGACCTTTTATATCTTCACCTGATGGAAATTTTGGTATGTCCTTTCTGTTGTTATATCAAGTAAAACAAAACAACCAAAAAAGTCCCTGCATATTATTTGTAATATAAACAAGGTAGGAATTGTAATTCTAGTTTAATCTTTATTCATTTGGAAATAATTTAGTCACTGACTGTGAAAAAAAGTTGTACCACTGTGTACCAATGATGGAATTTTTCATTTGCTTTTCAAGGAGAGGAGTGAACTGGGGGTGGAAGTGGGGTGGGCGGGGAGAAAAGTGCAACTAATGAATGGAAGTCCAAAATCTCTGTAGATGTTCATTGAAATTAATCTAAAAAAAAGTTGTACCAATTTGATCATTCTGGTCCTGGGGTACATTGTGACTAGAAATTTTATGTCACCATTCTATTTGCCTTTAGCAAGCTTAGAGAGAAGAAAACAAAAATCATTTAGAGTTATAGAAATATATTTAAAGGAATCATCTGTCAACAATATCAAACGCTTCAGACCATTTAATGAATTTTAAATTGGCACTATGAGTCTCTGGAAATAAAGAGTATGTTTAAGAGAGTGAAGTATGATTTTATGATAAAGGTAGAAGTCAGATTGTAAGATGATGAGTGGGTAGTAAGTAACTACAGATATGTCAGGACCGCCTACAGAATATGTGGGGTTTTCATAATTATTAATAATTTTAAAATAATGATGTGATTTATTGTTAAGGCCCCTCAAGTTGTTCTGACTCATAGAACATTATCTGTAACAGAATGAATACTCCTTGGTCCTGCATCATTCTCCCAGTTCTTGTTTGAACTAATTGTATTATTTTTTTCAGTCCTTGTATCATTTCATCTCACTGAGGGTCTTGCTCATTTTTGCTGACTCTTAACCAACCACAATTCTCCAGAGACTTCTCCTTCCTGGTAACAAACATGTCCAAATTCATGAGGCAGATTCACCACATAACTTCTGAACATTGTAGATGTACCTTTTTCAAAATATTTGTTTGAATAAGCAAATGAACAAAAATGGTGTTACTGTTGTTCAGTGGCATCAGGTCTATTATGACTCATAGAAACCTAACAAACACTAGATCTGAGTTTTGCCGTATATTGTACCATCCTCATTATGCTCAAACTCAGGAGTTGTGATCACTGTCAATTTCACAGAGCTCCCACCTTTCCCAGCATGACGTCTTATTTAGGACTGATCCCTTCTAACTATCTGCCCAAAATATGTGAGGCTAAGTTTCACCACCCTTGCCTCTAAGGAGCACCTTGCTGCACTTTCTCCAAGACTATTTGTATTTTGAGCTCCTGGTATATTCAATGCTCTTCTCCAGCACCACAATTCAAAGATAACAATTCTTCTGCAGTCTTATTTATTTACTCTCCAACTTTCAGATGCATGAGCAGCAACAGACCATCCCTAGGATCAGGCACACATTGGTCTTTAAATGACCTCCTTGTTCTTTAGCATTCTGGAGAGGTTCTTGACAACAGATTTTTCCAATGCAACCTATCTTTTGATTCCCTGACTGTAGGTAGTTACTATGGATGTTGATGGCGAATTCAAGTAAAATGAAAT